ATCACAGCTCTGCAATTCCTGTAGGGGGTCTGGATTTGAGGCGCGTACTCTTGAAGCGCCTATTCTGAGGCGCCTAGTTTTGAGGCGCTTCGAAACCTGGAATCTACTACCGGTACGTGCTGCATGTGCGAGTGAGGGAACGCAGCTCTGCGGCCGGTGGGGGGAAAACGTTATGCTTCTGAAGCGCCTATTTTGAGGCGCCTAGTTTTGAGGCTCCTCAAAACTAAAAATCTACTACCGGTACATGCTGCAGGTGCGAGCGAAGGAACGCAGGTCTGCGGCCGGTGGGGGGAAACGTAACTTGTGAGCCCGCGACTTTCCCTGACGGGTCCTCACGACCAGAAGCAACGCCAGCCTCACCCATCGCCCCTCACCCATCGCCCCTCACCCATCACCCCTCACCCATCGCCCCTCGCCCCTCGCCCCTCGCCCCTCGTCCTTTGCCTCGGTCGCCTCTTGCTCCCGTGCGTTCCGCAACCCCCTCCAGTCCACACCCTTAACCTGTGCTACTCGTGCTGCGCCCGTCAACCCCCCGCGACGTCGCCCTGCCTCCGCCGTCCCTTCCCGCTCGCACTCGTTTCGCCAGTCGCTCCTCGCGCCTCTCACGCTCCATCTTGAGTGTATCGCCCCTGTGCTTTTAAACATTTCCCCCGTGAATGGTTGCAAGTGCATTCAACAAGCGAAGGAGAGGGAAATTGTTGAAGAGGGGTTAAAACGAGAAAACAATAAAACACTGAGTTTCCCATATAAACAGTCCAACGACTGGACTGTTATCTTTCCTCCCTTGGCGCATGCCTTCTCTTCTCGCTCTTGAGACACTGATCCTTCTTCTCATTCTCTCCGCCTCCCGCTCCCCACCGCCCTTCTCTCCCCTTCCCCGCCCCCACACAACCCCCGACCCTCTTCCCTCGTTCCCCACCTTTCATCGCCTCTCCCACGTGCTGCTGTGGCACTCCGGACTCCCCAGCAGGCACACTCATCTTGAACTCATCTTGAGTGAGTGTGAGCGCATGGCATGATGAGCGGGGGACCGGAAACGAGAAGCTGCAGTCAGCCGTGGTGGTGGTGGTGAGCCCCCAGGCGGCAACCCGATTGACACTTGCACTGCCATTACAGGGTGCCTTTTGAGCTGTTTTGATATTACTATTTTTATGATAGTAAACACCTGCACTGGCTCTATGGGCAACCAAGCGTCGTCTGCCTGCCGCAAGGCCGTTCCTGAAAGCCCCGTCTCAGGGTCTGCAACAGAGTGCGTGCAGCAGCCTCAGCAAGCAGCAAGTGCTGCACAGGGTGAGTTTAGCTCACAAGAAAGTGAGTGCCAGTGTTTCCGTTTCACTATAATTTCTCAGATAGTAGATAACCAGGGAAAGGTATTTTCTGCGTTGCTCTCGTCTCATCTCATGATTGCATATACTCCTCTCCCCCCCCCCCCCCCCCTCCCTCACCTCTTCTTTCCCCTTCTTTACTTCCCCATCTTTCCTTCTCCTCCTCGTCACCCCCTCCCTAACCCCCGCCCTCCCCCCAATCCCCCCTCCTTCCCCTGGACCCCCTTCCCCTCTGGGACCACGCTAGGTCTTAACCATTCAGAGCCTTCATCAGGGCCGCGCTTGGTGCTCGGATGCAGTTTTCACAGCAGTGAGTCTCCCGTTTGGCAAGAATTTCCTGACCCTTCAGGGGCTCGTTATAACCCTCCTGCTGCAACACTTCCTCTTCCATTCGAGCTGTATGGCCAACCATTTTATAAAGGATTCCAGTGGGAGAAGAAGGTTTAAGAAGAGCTACCGTGTACTATATAAAGATGCCATTACTAAATAGTCACATTGTGTTTTTGCTTGATTTACAACCATTCATGTTGTGCACATGATCCATGCTGCTTAAAAAATTCACTCTGTATTTTCAAACAGAGACTACCGATTGTATTTCCAATGGCGTGTGCATTTTCTTTTTACAACCAAAGCCTACCGACCATTGTCAAGCTCCAGTTAGGTATTTGTTATTGTGTGTATGGATCCCTGAGTTTGTTGGGCATCGCAGGCAAGCTCCTCCAGCATATTGGGTCCCTTTCTATCCAGGAATTTATCTCACGTGGCTAAGACTGCTGCGTTGCCAGCGTGGTCCAATCTCGGCGCCGCCGCATCCTCTTCGGCATAAGCGAGGTTTGGCGACTGAGTGGGTGGTAACCCTAGAAAAAGGTACATTCTTTTCCCTCTTCCAAGTGCCACGTGGTCCTCGTGACTCGAAGGCTGCTGCTGTATGGCTGTTATACCACGTGGTTTCAGGGAATAGAGGGTGACAGGTCGAAGGTAGAAACTAGTTACCCTTTCTATACCCGAAGTTGAGGTTGATCGGGATAACCATTCGGTAGATGGAACTTTCATCATATTCAAGGTAGATCCGGTTACGGTGCCAATACGCAAAGTATATGTCTGTAATGCATTAGTTTCTAGAAAGAAACCCCTAAAAACTGCAGGAGTGCGAGGCTGTGCAAATTTGACACATCTCAACCAGACTCCGCTATCTTTCGAACCACCCCCGGAACAGACTGAAAGCGTCATTGGTACACTGGAAACGTGGGGGGTTTGTGAATAGCGTGCCCCTGCCACCACATTCTCAAAAGCGAATGCATGTCACTGATTGGCACGCTTGTTGGCGAATGTAACACAAGATGCTTTTGCGAAATCACAATGCACCCCATCCCAACCTGGCGCTTCCCTGGGATTGGCACCGCCACCACTCAGCTTCAGAACCACACCACAGCCACAAGTTCTCTGCTTATGCTGGCTTCTCCTCAGCGCCAGCTTCGCGTTTCAACAACTACATTCTCGGGATAACCTGACCACCTCGTTCTCTTCGAGGGATTCGTGAAGTCATACCTCCATTGTTCGTTTCTCCTCCTCTGATCTGGTCGTTAAATTACTGATTCAGATAAATTAGTTTTGTTTGGAACCAGGAGGTGCAACCAGCCAGGATTGGCTCAATGGCGAACGCGACCCTGCCATGGACGCTCGGTGGTCCGAGAGGTTCCTGCCCGGCGGAATTACACGTACGTCGCTCATTGATGTAGCTCAGGCTTCTTTGCATTTCGCCTCGCGTTCCTGAGAAACGCCCTGGTCTAACGGAAACCTAACCAGCCACGAGATCTCACGAGATAACAGTAGTTACATAACCTGATCATCTCTGATCGCAGCAACATTTGGCCTGTTAAGGGTGGAGTCGCATTCCATCGTTGTGTCACCGGCTGTGTGTTCATTGTCACGCACTGCGACTAGACGCTCCGTGTTGTAATAAATCTTCTGCACCAGCCTGTCTAAGCCTGATCGAGGCTCGTCACTGCGCATTTATCACTCGAACCATGTCTCATTTTGCACCCTCATCGTCATACAGATGCTCGCAACAACTGCGAGGTTCCAACTCCATTGTCACTGTCTCCCTCCCTTTGAACTCCTGAATGCGTGACTTTCGAAAGTTGCTGCAGCATGAAAATGCGGCATCCCATCCTCCCGCATACCCTCTTATGCTAAAGTCACTCATTCGGGAACACCGTTGCTTTGACGTTTTGTTTTATCGACTTGAGAATCACCTGTCTTCATCCCATCCTGCTTCGTATTTTCCTCTCCTGCAGTGTCTCATTTGGGTCCACCGCTATTTTGGCGACTGCGTGTGTAACTTTCGCGACGGGCTTTCGTTCACGCTGGGCATGATGAGCGTCGTCGCCTGGGGTGTCGCCGAGATCCCGCAGATTGTTACCAACTTCTTCGCTGGCAGCACCGAGGGCGTTTCGCTCACCTTCCTCATGACGTGGACTGTCGGGTGAGATGACTCGGACTGTCGGGTGAGATGATTCGGACTGTCGGGTGAGATATCCTGGTCTGTCGAGTGAGATGTCTTGGACTGTCAGGTGATGAAATCTGCCGTCAGGAGCGTGTAAAGCCAACTCAAACTCGCGTGTGGTGTAGTGTAACCGAGAATCAATACTTTTGACGGCCAGCTTCTTTGCAGGCAGCACCAAAGGCGTTTTTCTTTCCTTTCTCGTGACCTTGACCGTCGGGAAGACAATGTGGTGTGGGCTATGAGCTGATTTGGCCTTCCTTGCAGGCGCCTTTCGTTCCACATCTTCCTCTCTTCGCTCCTCATCCCGTGATTTCTTTCCTCTCTAGATTCGTTTCTCCCTATTACCCGCTGTTCCCTATCTTCCTTCCTTCACTCCCCCAATACTTCCGCTCCATGGCTTGTACATGCCCCGATTTCGCATCGCAACAGCCAGTTCTGTTCCGATCCGCCACACTCGAATGTAGCCCGATCTCACACCCTGCATTTGTGGCCCCTTCCCTCCACCCTGGCTCCTCCACGTGGCTTTCACAGGGACGTCTTTAATCTGGCCGGATGCTACCTGGAGCCTGCAACGGTAAGCATTGAGCTCGAAGAGTAGTCGAAAGTTACAGCCCCCTGGATGGCGCTAGAGAGTTTTGCTTCTATGTTTGTTTGCTTGCTTCTTTCAGGTTGCCTGGCGAACATATCTGGTAAGTGGCCTTCATGAGCTTCGAATTTCCACCTTGTTTTTGACACGGCCTTCTCGTCTTTCTCTCCGTCCGTCCAACCCCTGTCTGTCTGTGAATGTGCAGCTCCCAACGCAGTACTACATGGCTCTGGTAAGAGATTCATTATACACGCCACACGCGTGTGCTCCTTCCAACGCCTTTCATTCTAAACCTCCTTATTTTATGCTCGTGCCAAAGGCTGCACCATGCACCTTGGCGTTCTTGCCTAAATGCTTTTTTTTTTGTTCTTTTCGTTTCTTTTCTCGATTTTTTCCTTCCATAGTTACCTTTTCAATACTCGTTTGAAGTTCACAATCTGCGTTCGTCCTATACTCCTTCTCCGAGGCCCACCTCCTTCATTGCGTCCTCACCTTAGTAAAAAACTCGTTCCCCCCCCCCTCCCCTTTTCCTCTCACCCTCCCTTTCCCAAAACACCACCACCACGACCACCACCGCCACCAGATGTACACGATAACGACGATAGTGCTGGTGGCGCAGACGGTGTACTACGAGGTGTTGGTTCCGCACAAGGAGGTGGCGGAGGAGGAGGACGAGGAGGGCGACAGTGTGGCAGTGCAGGATAGCATCACTGCCAGCAGCACTGTGCAGGTGGGTGGGATGGGTCTTGAGGTTTGGTGGGTGTTGGTGGGTGCTGGTGGGTGCCGGTGGCGCAGACGGTGTGTTACGAGGTGTTGGTGCCACCCAAGGAGGTGGCGGAGGAGGAGGACGAGCAGGAGGAGGGCGGCACTGCAGTGCAGGACAGCATCATCAGCGTCAGCAGCACCACGGCTGTCACTCTGCAGGTGGCTGGGATGGGGTGGGTCTTTGGGCGGGGTGGGTGCGCAGTTCCTCTGGGGGTGTGCGAGTAACTAACTGTTAAAGGCACCGCCGGGATTAGTAAATAAAGGGAAAGGATGTCATGCCATGCTGTGCCATGCCATGTCATGCCATGCTGTGCCATGCCATGTCATGCCATGCTGTGCCATGCCATGTCATGCCATGCCATGCCATGCCAAAGATCAAAAGCTCGGAGTATCTATACAGTGAGCTCGCAAGGGTTAATTGGAGGCATTCTTGATCAAATTAGACCACATCAGATCAGATCAGATCACATTAGATCAAGTCAGACCAGATCACAGCAAATTAGAGCAGATAAAAACGCATCGCCAAGGAACAAAGGCACCCACAGAATCCTCCTCACTAATTCCCTGCTCTACCCACCATCTCGTTCCTCTCCCCCACTCCTTCGCTTCCTCCCGCCCACAGACTCCTTTACTGCAAGAGCAGCAGCAGGTGCCGTTTTAGCCGGTAGGAGTGCACCAGGGTGTGTGTGTGCCCTTCTTTTCACTCGCTCTTCTCCGCTCTCCCGTCGCTCCTCCCGCCCGCCCTCACACTCCTCTGCTGCAAGGGCAGCAGCAGGCGCCGCCATTGCCGGTGGGGGTGTCCCAGGGCGGCCCCATCTTTCAAGTTAACTAATAAATTTACCCACCTTTCGTCCCGCTCCCCTTTACTTCTGCTCCTCCCGCCCGCAGACTCCTCTGCTACAAGAGCAGCAGCAGCAGCAGCAGCAGCAGCAGCAGGCGCCGTCAGGGCCGGTGGGGGTGCCCCAGGGCGTGTTCATCTTCTGAGTCGACTGGAATCTACCCAACTTTCGTCTCGTTCCCCGTTCCTTTCGCTTTCGCCCCTCCCGCCTACAGACTCCCCTACTGCAAGGGCAGCAGCAGCAGCAGCAGCAGCAGCAGGCGTCGTCAGGGCCGGTGGGGGTGCCCCAGGGCGTGCCCATCCCCGTTGGTCCGCGCTCCGAGATCCTCTCTGTGCCGCTCAGCCGCAAGTCCTCCCACCGTGACATCCACATTCAGTCAGTACCTGTACCTGCACAGCATTCCTCATTGACCCCCCTCATTCCTCTCCCTGTGATCGTCCATGTGCTCTCTGTCTCCGTGCTGCTCTCACCCGCAAGTGCTTCCACCGCAACGTCCACATCACATCCAGTCAGACTCTGCTCCCCCTCTTTGCTCCCCCTCACTGTTCCCCCTTATCTCCATCTTCTTGCTCTCCCTGTGGGAAATGCTAAAAGTGCTTTTGTAGTGAACGTAATCGTCCATTTTCCCTCTGTCTCCAGCCGCTCAGACGTTTTCCTCTTAAGTGGTCCTCTGTATTGTCTCAGGGGGGGTTCTCCTAACTGAAGAGAAACCCCCCTGGGGTGTTTCTCCCATCTCCAGTCGCCCTTCTTCAGAACGCCAACGAACCCTAATCCTCAGAACTTTATCTGTTCTGTCTCCCTCCTTAGCTGACTCTCCCGTTTCTTCTCTCCATTTGGTGCCCTCGTAACTTGTCTCCCCTACCTCCCCCCCTCTCTCTCCTCTTCTCCCCTCTCTCCCCTCTTTTCCCCTCTTATCCCTCCTTCCCACCGCTAATCAGGTGCCCCACGCCCACCACGGGCTCATCTCCTCCATACAGGACTCTTTGCAGGCCTCCCTCCTCACCCACCTACTTTCCCCTCCCCCCTCTCCTCCCCACAGCTCTGCGCGGTCGCTAGTGAGCTGTCACACGCCCACCATGGGTTCATTCGTGCCGGGGTCACACGGGCACCACCCACACGGCTCACACGGGGGGCATCACCCGCACTCGCTGCACGCCCGCCACGCACAGCACCACGTGGGGTCGCTGCTCAGCCAGTCGCCCGGCCAAGGCGTGCCGCACATCTCCCTGCGCAATAACAGCCCCGTCACTCGCGCTGTAAGCCCCTTCAAAAAAATGTATATATACATATATATGTATATATATATATATGTCAAAGTATGCTCATCTCCCTGCGCAGCAACAGCCGCGTCAACCACGCCGTGAGTCTATTTTTGAGGATTCCAAAGCAGCCGCGTCACCTGTGCTGTTGGAGCAATGCAATGCACACAACACCAGCCGTACCCTCTTGGGATACCTGGTCGGAGGAGCATAACCTTGTGAGGCGCCTCATAAGTCATTTCTTGGGAGACCTGGTCGGAGCATACCCTTGTCATTCCGTACTCTTGCTCTGGTCCAGTCTTGCTCTGGTCCAGTCTTGCTCTGGTCCAGTCTTGCTCTGGTCCAGTCTTGCTCTGGTCCAGTCTTGCTCTGGTACAGTCTTGCTCTGGTCCAGTCTTGCTCTGGTCCAGTCTTGCTCTGGTCCAGTCTTGCTCTGGTCCAGTCTTGCTCTGGTCCAGTCTTGCTCTGGTCCACGGACATCCTTTCACGTTTCCGCACCATGTGCTGCCTCACCTCCTCATCCCTTCCACCCCTTCATCTCCATCTCCTTTTGAGGCTTCCTCCTCATGCCCTCCTCGCCTCCTCCTCATCTCTCCTGTTCTCATCCTCCTCCCTCCTGCCCTCCTGCCCTCCTGCTTCCTCTTCCCTCCCTCCCCACAGGTGGCATTCGGCATGCTGCTGGTTGGTTGTCTGCGCATCGGCACCCTCTCCCACTCCCTCTTCTCTGCTTCTTCCACCCCCAACCACCTCGGCCCCATCCCCTACCACTCAGACCCCGCCGTCACCTCCTCCTCCACGTCCCCGCTCTCGTCTCTCTTCCCCTCACTCTCCGCTTCTTCCTCCGCTGATCCTGGCCTTGAATCCTACCGTCTGCCAGCCCAAGTCTTCCCCATGCGCCGCCGACTGTTGCAGGTAAGGTTGTTTCTTCATGAGACTCGACTGTATTGAGCTGTCTGTCTCATTACGATCTCCTGTGTCATGGCGCGCTTGTATCCAACAACTCATTCTTGTAACGCAGTCAGCATAACGTTCTGTTTAGAAGAATCGTGTGTGTGTGAATGTCACACTGACGTGACTTGAACGGCCTTGGTACCAAATGCTTACTCCCCAAGCGAGCCCTTTTTTCGTTCAAAAGTCATGAGATGAGACGTCTCAAACGTGATCAGATGTTGCAAGTTGCTTCTCTCCATTCTCACTAACAAACACGACACTGTACTGCCCATGCGAACCTGCTGAATGCCTTGGCTCTTTCTATAACAGAATTTCCAAAGCCTGACTCGTGGCAGAGTTGCTCCTTCCTTGCTCTTTGCTGATGATCTGTCTTTGCATTGTTACCATGGTGCCCCTTTTTGAATCGACTCAAAAAGCAGTCTTTGCACTGTTGCCATGGCCCCCCCCCCTGTTATTCCAGGCAAGCACACGCGGATTGTTTTCTCAACACCTGCTGACTGATGGTAAGTCCCACTCGCACCATACCATCCCCACCATCCTCTACCACACCACACCACTGCCCTGTAAAACGCCCTGTCATACCACCTTGACATTTGAGTCGACTCAGAGTTTATGCCCACCAGCCTCAGCCATACCACCGCCCTGGACCAAAATCTCACCATCCAAACTCTCCACTGCATGCCCATCGTACTTCTGCTCTTGCCTTGCTGCTCCTCCCCCCAACAACCCCCCCCTCTCCTGCCAGGTGATGATGAGGAGCCGAGTGCACTGGGGGAGCTGCTAGGGTGGCTCATGGCGGCCATCTACATGGGCGGGCGCATTCCGCAGATCTACCTCAATGTACGTATGAATGCATGCTGCTCTCCTTGCATGCCATGCCATCAGTGCGAGCTGCTGTGTTGCTGCATGCTGAATGTTGTGGTACCCCAGTTTAGATTCTTGATCGCACACCCCCTTCCCTCCCCTTCGTCTCCTCTCCGTGGCATGCAGATTCAGCGCGGCACGGTGGAGGGACTCAGCCCGCTCATGTTCCTCTTCTGCATGCTGCATGTTGCAGCACTTTAACGCACAATCTTCTTAACCATGCACGCTGCCCATTCATCTCCCTGTGTGTGTGTGCTGTTTCAGATTCAGCGCGGCACGGTGGAGGGGCTCAGCCCACTCATGTTCCTCTTCGCCCTTGTTGGCAACGCCACCTACGTTGGCAGGTGAGCCTGTCAACTCGTCACCTTGTCTGAACACACCCCCGGAAGGTTCAACATATATTTGAGCCTGTTTTTGAGTCGACTCAAAAACAGCCTGTCAGCTTGTCACCTTGTCTGAACACACTCCTGGAAGTTTTCACTTATATTTGAGCGTCCAGAGGTGATTCTTCTGATAGACCAGGTGAATGCACCGACAGCTCTGAGGGCCGTCATTGAATCCTCCGGCCCTCCTTTCTTTCCTGCCACCTCGCTGCTCCATGTTTCTCTCCCTATTCCCTTTCCCTCTTTCATCCTATCACCGTTGGTTGGTCCGTTGCCAGGAGTGGCACACTGGCAGCACGTAAAGCCCAGCTCGCCTGATGCCTCCTTGACACCCTCTTCCACCTCCCCTTCCTCACCCTCCTCCTCTTCTCTCCCCTGCACATCAACAGCACAGCATGGAGTGGCGACACATCAAGCCCACCATGCCTGATGTTTCTTCAAACACAACCCCCCTGCTCCTTTCTTTGTTTCTCCCCACCACCCTCTCCCATCCACACACATCAACAGCATAGTAGCGCGCAGCATGGAATGGCGTCATATCAAGCCCAACTTGCCGTGGCTCGTTGATGCTGCTGTCTGTGTGCTGCTCGACCTCTTTGTAAGCCCCAACAAACCCCAACACCTCTTTGTAAGCCCCCACACCTCATTGCAAGCCCCCACACCAGTTTGTAAGCCAGCACGCCTCTTTGTAAGCCCCCACGCCTCTTTGTGAGCTGCCATGGCTCTTTCACAAGCATCATTCATGATAGAAGATCCACATGACTTACATGCATTCAACATTCTGACGTGTTTTCCCACATCGCAACCCTCTTGTCCCGGTCGAACTGCCTGTGACAGATCCTCTGCCAATTCGCCTACTACAGCTACAAGAATTCAAAAGAAGAGAGCACAGACGACGACTACGAGGAGGTCAAATAGGCCAAAAGCCGTGACCCTCGATTGTTTCGCAAGCCGTGATACATGCAACTTAGAGCGTGTTCCTACGACCTCCTATCAGGAGCACCTCGTATCAAGAATGTGATTTTCCAATACACACATTATATAACACCTCGTATCAGGAATGTACCAACACCGCGCACCAATGAAAATGCTCGCACGACATCGCTCGGACGTGCACAATTTACTGTGCACGGTCCCATCAAACGATCAAACGTTACCCCTGCAGGTGCGGCCGTCACACATTGTTGCTCAGCATTGGGACGTGGCAGTCGAGCGCCTCCCCATAACGTGCAGACTCTGCACGTTTGGCGCAGACCTTTTACAAATGTGCGCCTCGCGTAAAAAATGCACGCCACGCACGTTCAGCGTACAAGAGTCATCGTCAACTCCACCCCCATCACCCTCAGCACCACCGCGGTCATTGAGCTGGGCATACTTATTTGGTAGTACATTCCTACCGCTATCACTTCTCTAGCAATATGGCCCGCAAACGTAAAAACCTGGGTACCACTAGTGAAGAGGCATCATGGCGTCCAGACGATCTCGCGTACGTGAAGTGGATGAAGGCTGAAGTTGCCGCAGGGAGGCCGACGGCTAGGCCCCTGCGTAATGTCGGACACACGCCCACACAGCCTACCGTCGCTCCTCGTCCTAGCCCTGTCCCTAGCCTAGCCGCAGCCTCCGATTACGATACTGATGAGGACGACGCCAATGATTCGGAGGATGATGACGACGACGCCGACACCGAAGGCGAGGACCCAGTGGCCGAGTGGTGCGGCGATGCGGAATACAACGGGCCCGCCGATGAACCCGCGGCGGCACCAGCCGATAGCCGAAGGAAAGGAGGCCCGACTCCTCGCGAGAAGGCAAAAGGAAAGGGCAAGGGGCGGAATCAGACAGAAGCCCGCAGCGAGCCGACGATCCACGCCAGTCCGGGAAAAGGACCGCGCTCGGAGTGGTCCGCGAAAGAGTCAACGATCCTGGTAGCTGCACGATGGTTCACCAAAGACGAGCTGACACAAATGTCGGGTAAACAAGGTAGTCAGTACTGGTTGCGTCTTATCGAGCATATTAAACTGAAGCACCCCGATTGGTGCAGAAACGAGAAGGCATGCACCAACCAGTGGAAGCGTCTCAAGGCACTGTGGAAGCAGATTGAACGGGGTGATTCTGCTTCAGGAGGCGCCACGGTGATAAAACCCCCATGTTGGGAGTGGATGGTACTTTTTTATGAGGACACTGCTGCTGCCGAGCCGCACGCCCTCGATGGTGGCGGAGCGGCGAACGTGAATGTGGATCCTGGAACACAAGTCCCCAAGCCTGCTAAAACCGACGCGACAACTACCACGGGTACGTTTCCTACCGTCGTTGAGTGTCGAGCTTTCTGTTAATTTTCGTTATGCAATTTGGACGCACCCAATGTTAGTCGATATGCAATGTACAGATCATTGAATCCATAAGCACCCTCCCATACTCCCGCTCCCTTTTACCGGTACCCCCCTAGTCCGTAACACCCCACCCAACTCCCGCCGCCGGATCAACGAGACTGCGACCATGGCTGCCGCACAACTGCTGGCCAACGCATTCAAGGAATGCTCGCAGGAGGGCGTAGCGCAAATCACAGGTGTGATCCGCGAGTGGATGGCCACTCAGCAGTCGCAGACGAACCGTCCGCTCAACTTCGCCGGCACACGCGACGATGACAGCTGGCCGGCCGACGGGGATACTCAAGCAGGAGTGGTTTTTAGTGACAGTATGGAGGAATGGCGTTGGACTGACGACGACGCTTAAGGTAAGCGTCATGAAGCGCCTCCCCAAACCTCTTGCGTCGTTCTTTAAGATCGGTCTTCGTGACCGCCAAGTCCGCGTTCCAATTGTACTGCGCTAGGTCACCTCTCGTCCACCACGGGTCACGATTGATCGAAGTAGCTTGCCATTTGTGGTTCGGATCTTTCATCCGTGACCCCGCCATCTTCACCCCCATGTTGTGCAGTATCACCACGCAACTGGCCCCGGCAAGGACGCGCCATAAGGCACAGTCGTGACGTCCGGCAAAGAGGCGGTAACGCCCCTTGAACTGCCCGATGGTGCGCTCCACCGACATGCGAGTGGCAGACTGGCAGTAGTTGAAAGTTTGCTCCCACTCGAGCATGAGGCGGCCAGTAGGAGCGTGCAAGGGGGTGAGGCAATAGCTGCGGAGAGGGTAGGCGGCGTCGCCTACCAGCTGGTAAGGCGCGATGTCACCCCTTTCTAGACGCTCGTAAAGGCTGGACTGAACGAACACCCGCTGGTCATGCGCGGTGCCAGGAAAGCCTATTGGGTAGTCCCAAATGTTTCCTAGAGCATCGCATGTTATTTGTAGTTGCACGGCATACCGTAAAGTGCCACCTATAGGACCCGCCGGTAAGAGGGTCCCTGGGACTCTTGAAGGAGTAGGGGGGACTCTTGTTGCGGCAGGTTTTGTGAGGACCCCCCCTTTGTTGCTAATCATTATAAGACCCCCCCCTTCCATGTAAGGCCCTGTTGAGTTTGGTGCAGTTATCACTGTTATTGTAATAACCTGCTACACACACATCTCAACATCTAGTGGTCACTACAACTGCAGCATGGTCATGATGGATTCCATCAAGCACTCTACTTCAAGGAACCAAAACCTCCTCTTCATCCTCATCCTCCTCCTCCTCCTCCTCCTCCTCCTCCTCCTCCTCCTCCTCCTCCTCCTCCTCCTCCTCCTCCTCCTCCTCCTCCTCCTCCTGCAGGTCCCCGGCATCCTCAGCATCCGCTGCCTTCGCCGCCTCCTCATCCTCCGCGGCTGTGGCAAACAGCGGGTTCACCCACTCCTCCACCTCAGGGGCGATGTGCACGTCTTGTGCCACCTCGACCTCGCCCGCATCACGCATGTGGGCCAGGACGAGGTGATCTTGCGTCCCATCGACCGCGTTGCTGATGCCTGTCGTGAGAAACGCCTTCTCAATAATGTGCTCGGGGACAGACGCCCAAGCACTCGCAATCCACTTGAGGACCGTCTCTGCCGGCGGCTTTTTCAGGTTGCCTGCCATGTAAACGGCAAAGAAAAGGCACGGGGCGTACACGGGGAATTATATTGCAAACAAGCAGCCACAAACACGCCACGAGGCGAGGCACTTAGAAAGCCACCGAAACTCACCGGCTTTCGTGAACGTGTTGACGCCAAACTCTGCGAACCAGTCGTTGTAGAGCTGACGGAGCAGTGCCTTGAATGAGCGATTGACGCTCACATCAAGGGGCTGCAGCAGTGGGGTGCATCCCCCGGGAATTATGGCCGGGATTACCCGGTTCCACTTCATGTTGGTGAGAACGCCGTCGGTGAGGTGGCCCCGGTACGAGTCCACGACGAGAAGCGTCTTGGACCGCCGGATGCCACGCGGAGGCTTGATGAACGGCAGGAGAACGTTGTTCACCCAGTCATCCACTAGCTTAGCATCCATCCAGCCTTTCGCCTGCGCACGGACAACGACTCCTGCAAGGGAAAACAACGCACGTGGTTAGAATTCTGCCACGCAGAGAGACTCTCGTGATGGTTACAACTGTCGCAACCCACCTGCAGGGACCCGAATTTTCGGGATCGTTTTGCGCTTGAAGATAACCATGGCGGGGAGCTTGCGGCCGTCCGCGGTGATCTCGAGCATGACAGTCACCCTGTCCTTCTCGTAGCCCGCGCTCCTGACGTGCACCGTCTTCTCTCCGCAGTGATGCAGGGTACGCTCGTGCGGCATCTCCAGGAAAACGGGCGTCTGGTCGGCGTTTATAATGTTCCATGCGTCGATGCCATGCTTGATGATGTTCCTCCTCGTGAACGCCCAGAACTTCTCACACTTCGGCTTGCACTCTGCCACGGGCGACCACAAGTCGGGAGAAGGACATTAGTGACGGCGGTGTGTGAAGCATGAGTGTGACATATCGCTGAGCAAACTATAGAAGCACACAAACGGATGGAAGCACAAGAATAACTCACCCGCTGCCAAACGCTGACCCATCTTCGTCTTTACGCGGATGGAGAGGCCCAAACGCTGGCGAAAGCGAAACGTCCACCTGTTGGACGCCTGCCACCTCACATCAGGGTAATGCGTCTTCATGTAGCACCGGCTCCAGTGTTTGATGAGACGAATAGGCACGGCCAAGGCCCGTCCGCGGAAGTTCAGTAGCCGCTTATAGGTGTGCGCCTCCATGTCGGGATATTTCGCCTTTCGCCCTCCACCACTTAGTCGGCGCCTGGATGGTGCTGCCTTCTTAATCCGATCCGCCGCCCTTATCCACCGGCGGACGTTGACAGGCTGCACCCCGGCGAGTCATGCAGTGGCGCGGACGGAGAGCTTCTCATCCTCCATCCGCGATAGCCATTCCTGCTTCTCACCCATGGTTCGCGCTGTGCGACGGTGGTTAGTCTTGCGGGCGCTGTGTTGTGTTGGAGCACCGTCAACCTTGGAGCGAGGCCCGTTCTCGTCGTGGATCAAGTCATCCGGGAACGTCGGGATCGGGAAATCCCCGACGTCGTCTTCCATGGTTGCGTTCTTGGCGTCCTCGGCGACGGGTTCGGGAAACCCCTCCTCCTCGACCGGGTCCAACGGAGGTGTGGTGCGCCAGTCGACGAAGCCCGAGGGAAGCACAGGAGGCGCAGGTGGCGCCGGAGGCCCAGGGGGTGCGGGAGGTGCGGGAGGTGCGGGAGGTGCTGGAGGAGCTGGCGGGGCCGGGCTAGTAATTAGTATAATTGCGGGGTGGCCAGACCCACTGACTACAGGAGAACGGCGAGTACGCCATGGGCTTTCGGAAGCCGACATGGCGAGGAGCTGATACAGTTCTACTGACTTCTGGTTCTCTAAGTGGCAGGCGTCATGGCGGGCTATTTAAATGGGAAGGAAGCTAGCGGGCCAGGCAAGATCTGAAACAAGGAAAGGGAGGGGATGAAAGCATGCGTGCTCGGCAGAGTGAGGGACGTGAAACCCTAGTGCTTCACGTCCAGTGCCCACTCTGCCACAGAGACAGGATGGGGTGGTCAGGGTGGTCAGGCGAAACACTGTCAAGATGTTGTGCGGTGCGCTGCAAACGCCGTTCAGTCCGCCCTCGTGCTCTAATTCTCGCCGCGTGTCATTCCCGATGACGCGCACGTTGTGCGCCAAGCGAAAGATTCTAGCGCAAAAAATATAAGACCCCCCCCCCCCCCCCCCCCCCCCTTGTAACGAGCTGGTACATGGTAAATCCAATAATGTTAATAGACAAATAAGTGTACCCCGGGTCTTAAAAAATTGCATCCGCCATAATGTCCACCCTATCATTTTTTAGAGCATTTGTAGACAGTCCCCCGGGTCCTATAGGTCCATTTGGGATTTTCGCGTGTAGTATTCTGCTCTGTGCCCGTCCATGCCGCGTATTTGTATGTGCGTACCGTCAATCGCACCTATGACCATGGGCACGCCTTTAATGCTACGAAACACCTCCTCCATCTCACTCATTTCTTCCCTCGTCGAGAAACGAACCCACTCCGCTTTGAATCAGGGCTTACTTTATCAGACATTTTTGGTCTGAATTTCTGGATTCTGAACACATTTTTACTGGTTTATCTGATGTCGTAGACATGCTGTTTAATTTCGTCTGATTTTTAAGAGAAGCTTTTTTCTATTCATCTGATTTCTCAAACAGCCTTATACAGTTCGTCTGAGATTGCAGATATCGAGTCTTTTTCGTCTGAAGCTTAAACTCTCGAAGAATGTATGCACTTGCCAAGTAGGAGACAAGATTCGAACCGGAGACCTCAATCTTCACAAATCACTATTCTACTGGCTGGGCCATTAGGGCTTGTACCTTACTTCTCTATTTAAATGTTGATACTTTATTGCTTGCTAGAATATCTTCTCAGAAATCTCAGACAAGTATTCAGGATTCGTCTGAAAAGCTAGACAATGTTACAGCTTTCGTCTGACAATCAGACAAGGAGCCAGGACCCGGTCTTGACATCAGACGGGTCATTTTACTAAAGTTAGCCCTGCTTTGAATACCTTTGGAAAGTTTTGCAGAAATAAGTCGACTAGTTTATGACACAATGTCTTTGGCACGCCGAACCAGAATGCTAAGTCGATGTACGCCATCGCACTAACGAAATATTTAATCGGTATTAGTACGGCGACTCGAATCGGTATGCAATGCCGCTGAATGACCGGCGTGAGCACGGATGACATGCCGTCGCAAATATAGTCCGGTATTGCGCGGTTGATACGAAACAGGTCCACGAAGGTCTCTTCCGGCATAGAGGCCATTTCGTCCTCCCACACTACTAGTCGACGCCGCCCTAACGCACGGTTCCTATTGTGAAGAAATGAGGAATGAGTGAACTAGGAAATGAGTTGGGTACAAATATGAAACCCTAGAAAGCTGTACCCCATACTGTCTACCCCACTACAGCCTAGAAAGACTATAGCATATAAGTTCGACACACCCCCATAGGCAAAGTGGGGGAGAACAAGGGGTCACAAGACCAGTCAAGCAAAGCACAGCAAGCTCAGGGTGGATCCCAACGTCACCACACATTCTGAGCACAAGTTCAAGGGCCACAAGGCCAGTTCACATGCAAGCATATATATATAAAGCTAAACATGCAAGTGCAAGTGTATATAGGTCACAGTACAAGCAAGGTCAAGAAGTGAGCAAGTGAGGCAAAGTAGGTACAAGACCTAACGAAGTACAGAAGCGCTGATGATCACAAGGCGCGAGTGCCTTGGTGAAGATATCAGCAGTGTTGGCCTCAGAGGCCACGTAAGCAAGTCGTAGCTGACCACGCTGCTGCAGCTCACGAGCAAGGAAGTAGCGGAGAGCAATGTGCTTCGTTCTGTGCTCCAGTCTGTGCTCCCGACACAAGGCCAGCATGGCCTTGTTGTCTACGTACAGAACTGGAGGAGAACAAGGCGGCTCTCCAAGGTCAGTCAGCAGGTAGGTGAGCCAGCGTAACTCCTGTGCAGCCATGGCCCCCGCGTAGATCTCAGCCTCACAACTGGAGCCGAGAACAGAAGACGAGCGGGTAGACCGCCACGAAACAGAGCCGGAACCAAGGCTGAAGGTGTAACCCTGTGACGACCGCTGCGTGGCCTGGTCGTCAGCCCAAGAAGCGTCTGCGTGACCAGTGAGGACCACTGGACTCCACCCTCCAAGCACAAGCCACATGCCTGGCGTACTGCACAAGTAGCGCAACACCCTCTTCGCTGCAGCCATGTGCTCTGGTCTGTGTCTCCCAGGAGCAACATAGCGTGCCAGAATGCTAAGAGGGTATGCAAGGTCAGGTCGAGTGCAGGTCATCAGGTACATGAGGCAGCCAACAAGCTCTGGGTACGGGCCACTCGACTCTACGGACTCATCCGAAGGCAGAGCTGAGAGCGAGTGGCGAGTAGACAGAGGAGTGGCCTGAGGCGAGGAGTACGTGAAGCCGAAGCGCTGAAGGACCTGCTGCACCATGTGTGACTGAGTCAGGGTAATGGTGCGCTGTGCTCTGTCCCGGGTGATCTGCAAGCCAAGGTAGCTGCGCAGTTCACCCAGGTCTGTGCACGTGTGTCTCTTCTGCAGCTCGGACTTCACGTGGGCGAGTCCAGCAGTGTCAGCTGTGGCAAAGACCAAGTCGTCGACGTACACGAGGATGTAGAACGGCGGCAAAGAAGTGTCGGTGCGCAGAAACAGCGACGGGTCGGCAGTAGAAGGAGCAAACCCAAGAGCCGCAAGTGTAGTCCTCAGTGTGTCGTGCCACTCACGAGGTGCCTGGCGGAGACCGTAGACTGGCCGCCGGAGGCTCCACTGGGTACCAGGAGGAAAAGACCCAGTGAAGCTAGGTGGACGGCGCAGCCAGATCTCCTCGTGCAGGCTCCCCTGCAAGAAAGCAGTG